AAAAACTTCTGGTAGTATACTATTGGCATAAAGCTTACCAGTAACTGTATGCCCTTTTTTCACTACAATTCGTGCTAGGGAAGGTTGAAGAGGAGTAAGGGAGGTAGTTTGGATTTAGTGGCGGTTATAATATTAACATCGTCCCTGCTTATGCTCAAACACTCTGAATAATTACAGTTTATACGAGTTTTATTCAAGGGTTTATTCCTCTTACAATTAATTATGATATGCTTCTATACGTATATGTCAATATGGTTTTACAAGATGCCAAAATAAAATCGTGCACATTTACTGTTAGCTGCCTTTGCCGGGGTAGATCATTAGACTATGCAAGAAAATATGATACACTTGTTTTACCATCGATAATTACTATCACGCAAGCACATTTTTCATGAACATATGTATGGCAATAAATTATTGACCACCGATGTATGGCAAATGTTTCGCAAAATGTTTGAAGAAAGTGGGTTTGAGGTATATGAAAGTCGGGAATCTTTTATAGAATACATGCAAATAGAACAACAAGAACGCGCTGAAAATCGAAGACTTGCTGTGGCCGAATTAACTGAAAGGATACGTGATCGATATTGGTCTGTTGAAGAGATGAGTGATGTTGACAGGACACAATCCTTTATTTCTATGTTACAAGATTTGTGAATCCGATTATCTCGCAATTTGATAAATAGAAAAAAGGGAAAATTTTATTTTTTTAAATTATTAGGATTTTTGACGCTAATAAATGTGGATTTTAAGTTTAAATAAGAATATAAATACTTCCCTGCGGTTTTTTACATTGTTTATTTGACAATCTCTCCGCGAGGACGCTTCAGCACCAGAGATCAATTTATTTATCTTTTTGTTATTACGACGTGAAGCATTATTAATATGTCTATTTTTCCGTTTTATGTTATGAAAGGGAAAAGATTTAATAGAGACAGTAGGATAGTATGAAAAAGATAAATATAAAAATTCTTAGTGCGAAAAAAAATTTGGGGACAGCAATCTGCACGTTTTTTAACGTTTTTAGCCGGATTGAATGTCTTTCAGAGTATCGATAAAAAATACGTGAGAAAAAATTTGGGACAGCAATCGGCACGTTTTTTAATTTTTTAGCTGGATCGGTGATTGGCGTGACAAATTGTCACGCATACATGATTTTTAAGTCGCTAATATAATTGAATATTTCCAGTCAAAATTTCGGCAATTACATGATCGATATCGTTTAGAGTTAAATTTAAGATAGATGATGGAGAGAAAGATATAATTCGTCCTATTTTTTCTTTAACAATTGCATTAAAAGGTTTATAAGCCTTTTGGGATCTTTCCATTCTTTTCCTCAAAGCGTCATCAGTAATTTTTCTTTCTGGAATTGGGTTTCTAACCTCATCTTTAACCAAAGCACGGGCTTCTTCTTTACCATGAATTTCTTTCAGCTTCTTGTATCGATTATATAAAGCTTCACAAAATCGTAATAAGTGATAATAACATTTCGTGTAGCGGGTTCATTTTTAGATTCGGTTTGGTCAATCTAATTGGAGAGTTGTAAAAAGTTACTTGCGCTTTCACCGTTTCTTCCAAGTTCCCACCACCATTGGGAATTAGTTAATAACTCTTCGATAAGTTTTTTCAGCGTACTCGATGCCTTCTTCTCACCAGCTTTTTTCGCTTCTTACTATTACTAGAGAATTTTTCGGCAGATGCACTATGAAATGATCAAATGTATGTGAATAAACTTTATTTACTGCACATAGCATATAATGCATTATATTTTTACAAATTAGGTTACAGGAGTGTCCATTACTTTACCCTCGTAGTTGATTGATCCGGTAATCCCAGCCTAAAATTTATATTATAAAAAACTGTTCCCTTCCCTCGGGGAACAATCAGTCATATAATTTTTCCTGGCACTTAATGACATACTGGGAATATTTATTTTGGGATTATGATACGATCTAGGTTAACAAATATTTTATAAAAATTGTTAAACTACTTCATAGATGACTTACATGTGTGTAATACCAATCACTTTATATGCTAAAGCGGAAATTTAAATTTTATTTTTCATTTACACTAAGAACTGACTAATACTCAGAAACATGAAATCATTAATTTTTGTCATAACTTCATTGTATTAAGACTCTAATTCAACTTTCTCTTTTTTACCAGACTTTTTTTCTTTGGTTTCCTTGAGGTCTTGAAACAATCAGAAAAAATTTTAATTGAGTGTGGTGGTGAAACAACTGAGCAGGGTGATGATGACTTTTGGCCAACTTTCATTAATTCGTTCAGAAACTCATTTTTTGACTTCTGGATGCTTAAGACTTGTAAGTTGTTCTTTATGAAAATAAAACTCGAATAAAGCTAAAGGGAAACGAGGTTATAATTACAAGAATAAATTTTTCTTACCTTGCGCTGATAAATTAATACTAAAAGCTTGAGAAAGGATCTTATTCCATCTTCTGAAAACGTACTATCTACATTATGGGATGGGAAGTCTTTACGAAAAATGCAAATTGACCCACCAGCACACCATAACCTTGTGAATTGGATCCATAATCCAAGGTGCACTATGCTGAAAACTTGAATTTTTTCTGCTTTCTGATCATTGAAATTTACAGCTTTTATCAATTCTGAATACATGTCACGAAGTGTCTTTGGCATTTTAAAATTTTCAAGAAGATACTTCTGATCTGAAACTCCTTTGAAGGATCTAGCAGTCTCAATTGCCCCAAATTCAAGAAGTCTTTCAATGGAATATATAATCCTGTCAATTTTGTGACCAGTGTACAGTGAGCTTCCTTGTTTGTGTATTCACATGGCCAATTGGATCCATTCTTGATCGTGATGTTTATGGGCATCATATTTTTCGCCATCTTTAAGATATGATGTCATTACAGTTGCACATAAGTCTTCCAAAGTATTCTTATCATATTTTGCCAGTTCTTTCGCAATATCGAGTGAAATAGACGGAATACCAATTCGGTCTTTCATCAATTCTTCCCACTCTACATCAGTGAATAGTGCTTTAATCTCCTCATCATCATAATCCACAATGTAGGAATGAGCATGACTAATAATAGTACATGGGGGTGCTGAAAAGTTTTGTCGCCGGGGTCATATGTCAATGATCAGCTGACCGATCCAAAAATGGAGGTAATCCA